GAATTTACAAGATTTTATTTTGTATCTTAAATTCTAAAATGAGATTAAGTAGTAGAATGTAGTACAATGAAGATTATCCAGCTTAATTACTGTTTAGGCCTCTGGATAATTACCTTGTCTAGATAACTGATTATATACAATCCAATGAGTAATACTGTAGAGGATAATAAACAATACTGATTCTGAGAAGCTGAAAATCTTGAGGGTGAGGGGAAGTTCAAAATGAAAACATCGACTGTTGAATAGAAGCACTTGGCTACTAATGTTGGTCTACTTCAGCTAAATACAACTAACTAAAAGCATTTGTAATTGGCAAGTTTTTTCTTTTAATACTTTAAGCATAATGAAGCAAGGAGCTAAATTCTCCCTGGTGATTCATCAAATTGGTATATGATTACACACAGCCAAAAAGAGATAAAGCTTTATAGTCAAGAAACAAAATGAATCCACTTTTTAATTCAAGAAACTGAACTACTACCACACATGAGCGCTTCTCAGTCATGTCACCATTGACACTTAGAATACATACTTCTTTAATGTATGGCCCACAGTATGTACTCCAGGATGTTTAGCAACACCCTGGTCTCTCCCCCAGTAACAGTCCTCTTACTTATGACACACAAAATGTCTTCATTATCATCAGATGTCTCCTGGGGCACAAAAGTGACCTTCATTCAGAACAACTACCTACATAAGTGACAAGTACTAGAGGAGGGACAAAACTCGATAAAGCTTGGTATCAATCTCAGGGTATTAAATAAAGACTATGATTCTGATTTCATCCTGCCTTACACGTAGTCAGCCAATCACTTGTTTAGCTTCTTCTGGAAATACAGTTGACAGAAACTAACTTTAGATGTATAAGAGTAACAAAATAGTAGAAACTAAGATGCTTAAAATAGAAAACAAATGTAAAATTATTATTTTACAAAATAAAAAATCTTCTAAAATAAATCATATTAAATAACACAAATACTAATTTGGGTATGAGAGAAAATGAAATTATTTTCCTATTTAAAATATTGTAATTAGAATATTTTAAAGGGCTGTAAGGCTAAGTAGAGTTCACTCTTGATGTATTCAAGAACTGGTTATTAAATTTATGGACTATTCAAGATATTTCTTTTCTCCTCTCAGTGAATGTTAGTCATTCCACTTCTCAAATACATCCAACAAAAAAAGTCACAGTAAATGGAAGGATACACAATTTACAAAAGTCAAGTTAACAAGTTTATATTGGAAGGGTTCTCAATTAGCTATAAAGGAAGGGGAAAACAGAAAGAATGTACACTGCTACAGACCTGTAATTCCAGCAGTCTGGGAAGTTGAAGCAGAAAGATTAAAAGTGTGACCACAGCTCAAGCAACTTAGTGAGAACTTGTCTCGAAAACAAAAAATATAAAGGGATGGAGATGTAGCACAGAGCAAAAATCCTGCGTTTACTCCCCTGCTGCAAAAGAAAGAAAAGAAGCCCACACCGAAGTAAGCCTGGTTCACACTCAATATCCCATTATCCTCAAACCTCATACTCAAGTTATGGGGAGTCAGTTGATCAAAATCTTTTATTAAGCTGGGCATGGTGGTACAAGCCTGTAATCCCAGCACCCGGGAAGCTAAGACAGAAGGATGGTTCCAAGTTCAAGGCCAGCCTGGGCTACAGAGGGAGCTCAAGGCCAGCCTGCACTATAAAACCAGACCTTATTTTAAAAAAAAAAAAATCTTTATTAAAATGACCATGGGAGATAGCTCAGCGGTCTAAGCGCATGCCTGGCAAGTGCAAGAACCCAAGTTCAATCCCTGGTAACTGCATGCCAGGCCAGCCCTGGAACCCTGGCCCGCTGTGCCGACCTGAAAGTGGGTGTGGTGGTGCATACCTATAATCCCAGTACAGAGGAGGCTGAGACAGGAGTATCACCACAAGTCCAAACTGCTTCTCAGACCCTGTATCAAATAAAGAATTTTTTTTCATGACCATATGATCAACCTGATCATTTGTAAAATTAACAGTGGCAGCCATCAAACTATACAAGTTTTGAAGAAAAAAGAAAAAGGTAGTACTTCGTAATTATTTTTATATAAGCAATGACTACATATCACCATTGGAATCATTTACTATTATGTGGTCAAGTCCTTATCTCAGATAAAGCTAAAAGTAAAGAGGTAGGTTAAAAGAGTTGGCAATAAGAATCCAAAATTTACAATCTGATTCTGCAACAAACCAAGGGATCCCAGACAACAGAATCAAACTCCTTTGGTCAATTTCTTCCTTCTGTAAAATTATCAGAGCTGAAGTTATACAACCTATGCCAGCTACAAAAGCACTAAATATAGAATGCTCGGAATTACAAGTAAAACCGAACACTACAAAACCGAAAGCTACTAATAATAATTATATGCAAACTTAAAGGTCTCTAATATCAATGTCTACTAAAATCTAAAACCTAAAAAAAAGAGGTCTTTTATTTATAAAAACAGGTGGCAAGTCAAGAGATAAATCATCCTATCTTTCTTTTTTTTTTAATAAAATTTTATTTATTTATTTGTTTATTTATTTATTTATTTAGTGTGTGTGTGGCCAGCTCAGCCCACCAGGGGGCAGGACTGGCTGGCATGTGGTGCTGGGGGATTGAACCGCGGTCCCAGCGCTTTGCTCAGCTTAGTTTGTTCTAAGTAGGTGCTTTAGACCACTGAGCCATCTCACCAGGCCCCTATCTTTCTTTCAGGAAGTAAAAAGTGTGTCTAAAGGAGTGTACAGGAATTCTTAAATCAGAATTTCTTAATTCCTCTGACAGTCAATAGCTTCTGCTTACTTCTTAAAACGGAGTAATGTTGCTCTAAAGGTCAAAATCAATACAAACCAGACAACCAGGTCAACCTCATTAGCCCCTAGTGCCTATAATCTCTTCTTTGCCTCTAGTGCCTATAATCTCTTCTTTACGGGCATTTTCTGTGTGCCCCAACTCCTCACATGAATGAACCAATTTGTTGTACATGTCTGGCACTTTCCTCTTTTTTCTTTACAAATGTTTCAATTGCTATTTTAAGCAGAGCAAGCAATATAATACTCACCAAACAGATATACACTACTATCATGATGAGGGTAAGTTTGAAACCACAGTGTTTCACTCAACCACTCAAAAACCAGGTCTGCATGCTCTTAATCTTTTTTTCTTTCCTTTTCATTGCCAAATGCACATATATAATACACACACACACACACACACACACACACACACACACTCTCCCCAATCTCTCTAAACTCTTAAACTGGTTCATTCATATCCTGGATCAAGACAGATCAGTTTGTCATAGACTCTAACACACTGTCTCAAAGTCAAAACTGTTCAGAGAAGAAACAAAAAAGCACAATGGAAGCATGCAGAGTTAGTACCTCAGACACTCCAGTGCTCCCAGTCTTTACTAAGACTGTCAACAACACAGAGCAGAGCACGCATCTTAACAGAAGGCAGCAGGAAAGGAATGAGTGAGTGATTCATGCACAGTTCTGCTAGACTAGTAGCATCAATGATAAGGTATGTAACTGGATCACATTTCCAAGAGAAATATATCAATCTTAATAGAAAGGAAGGGATGCAAAAATTAGTCTCCAGGCAGGTAAATGAGAAAGCAAAAGTTATCTGTAACCTTTAGGTCACCTCAACCTCTTTGCTACATCCCTGAATGTAACTCAGGGAGAGGCACAGATTGCCCTTCCTGAGTGAGGAAACACTGCCTGCAGTCACCATGTATTTTCATGTATGCAGCTGTGACCCTGGCACTTTCAGAAGCACAGCGGAGCACTTATTACATCAAATATGCATTTTAAAAGCATTTCGCTATCTGCTCTGAATTTTGATTTGAGAGTGCTGGTTAATACTGAATTTTTCTCAAGTTTTACAGATAAGTTAAAGATTCCACCATGAATATTACTATAAAAAAGAAAACATGAATAGAGGGAAAAATCAAACAATAATGAACTGTCATTTTAGCATATTTTTTTTAAAAATACAAGTTCCTAAGAAGACTTAAAGCAAACTGATTTTAATGTTGACATATTTGACTGATTACATTTTTTTAGGTCTGTAAGACAGGGAGCATACGAAATGTCTTTACACAGATATTTCATATTACAATGCCTCTGCCCTCACAATGACTGTTCCCCAGGAATCTGTTTTTGAGAGCCGGGATTTTAATACAATGCTGACTGCCAATATCAGAAGTCTAGAATGTTTTCAGGTATGCGGCACCTAAAATGGCTAGGGGAAAACATGTAAGCATTTAGGGATTCAAAACCTTTCATTCATCAATATACATGCCACAATTACACACAAAATAAAAACTAGAGGTAAGACAAACAGGCTAATAAGACAAAAATTTTAATATTCTTGTGTTATTACACACATTTATCAGCAAATTATATCTACATTTATACTAAACACCTACATTTAGAAGAACATACAATGCCCTGATTATTAGCAATTGCTAGCTTGATGATTGTACAATATGTGCAGCATATTTTCAGATAAATTATAAATTCCAGGTGCATATCCGAGATGATCAGACCCATAAATTGTGAACAAAGACTTTCCTGGTGAGACAGGAGAGAAAAGATGAAATGAAAACAAAAGCAAAACATGCAGCTACACAGAAAGAATGGTACTACAAAGAGACAGATGGTCTTGGAAAATATTGGCTACGCTTGCCCAATTACTGCCCTAGCTTCCTCTTCATCCTTAACTCTGGTTTTTTTTTCTTTTATATACATATTTTATTAGTAATATATAATTACATTCATCTTAGGAATTCAGTACATTTAAATATCACAACTTAATCATTTTTAGGTTTTTTTTAGTTTTTTTATTAATTTTAATGAGAAAAAAGATAAAACAGCAATGAAACAGTTTCAAAACCGGTTTGTAGGACAGTACGATAATTAATACATTGTATATTATTGTCTTCATACTAGTTATTCAGAGGATAAGATACAGACATATCTTGTCTAGACAATAAAAAAAATCATGGATTTGTGTGTTATCCTTGCGCAGGGGCCATGCTAATCTTCTCTGTATCATTCCAGTTTTAGTATATGTGCTGCCGAAGCGAGCACAACGTAATCGTTTCCATTTGGTAGGCTTTCTAAGGGTGACATCTGACAGGGATATTCCTTTCCCATCTTCCTTCTCCTGGTTTTTATTTTCATTTATTTTTCCATAGGCCCTTTGAAATTATACAAATAAATTTGGGCACATATATCTATGTACATTTTCTAGGAGAAAAGCCAAAACTTTTTTTTTTTTTTTTTTTTTTTTGTGGAACTGGGGATTGAACTCAGACCCTTAAAAACTTTTAAGAAATTCTCAAAGAAAACCCTGAAACCCCCCTAAAAAGGGTATCAATTTATTAAAGCTAAGTTTATCTAAGGTAATTGCTACAATTCAGCTTTGCTAAGTTCCTGTTTTCAAAAACACTGTAAATTCCATTCCCCCACCAAAAAAAAAAAGATTATATATCATGGATTCTGCCCAGAAATAACAGCTCTTTGAATATTTCAGTATACATGCTTTGTGTGATACAAACGATTTAATGATGGTACCAGGCTTGCTTTATGCAAAGTAAGACCAAACATCTATACCCAGGGACCCTGTTAGATAATATATTCAACTACTGAAATAATAAGTCCTTCTAAAAAGTAAAATACTCACTTTGATAACAAACATATATAATAATAACTGATGGCTAGTTTGTGTGTGTACATGTATTAAAAGATTCTAAGCAATCTTACTAAGAAATTATAAATGTAATAAAAGAACATATAGAAATGAAAAACAAAAGCAAAACAACTACTGTCATTAATTCAAAATTAAAGGGGCCAGGAAGATGGCTCAGTAGAATAAGCGCTTGCCTGGCAAGCGCAAGAACCTGAGTTCAATCCCTGGTTCCACCAAAAAAAAAATAAGGTTTAATTTTGGAAACTTAAAAAAATTAGTTCAGCTTCAGAATAAATGTACAAGCCAAAAAACACTAACAAAATCATTTCTCTTAATAAACATAAAAGAATTCCAGGATAAATAAAATGTATTAGATACATGCAATGAATGAAAAGGAGTGAAGCACTGGTGCATGCTACAAAATGGATGAAACTTTCAAAATGTGATGCTAAGTGAAAAAAGGCAGAAATGAAGAGGTCACATATCATATGATTCATTCTTATGAAATGTCCAGAATATGCAAATCCAGAGATATAAATGCTTTCCAGGAGTTGGGGGTCAGAGGTATTAGAGAATGATTGGCAACAGATATTTTTTTCTGAAGTAAAGGAAACATTCTGCAATTATGTAATACTAATAGCTGGATAGCTTGGTAAGTATAACAAAAATCAGTGAGATACACTATATATATATATATAAAAGTTTTATACTATACAAATTACAGTATACATTTAAAAAGCATTAAAGGGCTGGGGAGATAGCTCTGTGCTCTAAGTGCCTGCCTGGCAAGTGCAAGAACTCAGGTTCAATCTCACATACCACATGCTGTGTCAGCCACCAAAACCTGATGGGGTGGTGCATGCCTATAATCCCAGTGCTGGGGAGGCTGAGACGGGGGATCACTACATAGCAAGACCCTGTACCAAATAAATGAATGAATGAATGAAAGAATAAACAAATGATTTTTTAAAAAATTAAATAAAAAGCATTAAAATATTCTAAACTCAGCCATTCGCTATTCTTAAGTTATTGATCTTTTTCAATTTTTAAAAAAGTCATGTACCATGTAAAGTTTAAGTATATAATTCATATAAATGTATTAATTTAATTTCCCTCAGAAAGAAAATAATTTTAAACCCATTGTTACACAGCCCCCTTCTTCTGCCACTAAAACATTATCTCTCTTTTTAGCCTCCGATAAATAAGAAGAGAGTGGTGGAGCTGGGAAATCACTATCTTGTAGTTATGACAATAGAAACTAAAAGTGATAAACTTACTGAGGAATAGGTATCTGCATGGCCTCAAAGTATCTTCCCCACAGATTGCTTATTAGCTCCAACAGGAAAGCGTTACACATGCAAGGGAGAGATCTGAAAACATACTGGCGGGGTGATGCGCTAAAATCCCCAAAGAGGAACAGAGTGGACATGAGTGTCTCCAGATGGGACACCCTCGGGCCACAACACTATTTATATAATATTCAAAAAACACAATGGCTACAAAAGACAAAGAAAAGGTGAGAAACTATTTCAAATTCTTAAAAACTATGACAACTAAAGGCAGCATGTGCACTGAGACTAGGTCTTAGGACTAGGAATGTGGCTCAGTGTCAGAAGCCTTGGGTTCATCAGCACCATCAGAAAGAAAAAGAAAAGATAGGGAAGGGAGGGGAGGGGAGAGAAGAGGAGCATAAAAGGACATTTTATGACAAAACTAGACAATATGATAACACAAATGTGGTAAAATGTAAAAATACCAGTGATTCTGAGTGAATAAAAGTCTTTTTAAAAAACTATTTTTGAACCTACTCCAAAAATTTAAAAAGAATTTCAAAACAGCAAATTAAAATCAAGAGCCTTAAACCAGGCATGGTGGTGCATACCTATAACCCCAGCACCTGGAGGATAAAACAGTACAACTGCCTCCAACTGCAGACCAACATGGACTACATAGTGAATTCAAGGCCAGCCAAAGTACACCGTAAGGCCTTGTCTCAAAAAAAATAAATAAGAAGGAGGGAAGAGTGAAGGAATACATGAACTCATCTTGACTCTAAATAAAACTCAGTCTTTGCACGGCTGTGCACTTCTTAGCCTATGCCCACCTCCCCGACCCTGTATCCAGGCATCTCTCTCCCTCGAGCACTGAACTCGGCTACCCTGCTTTCTGAGAGGTCCCTTAGGGCACCAAGCTCTTTCAGACTGCACTGTGAAGGTACCAGAAAATACACTTCCCCCACTCTTCATGTGGCTGGCTCCATCAAGAGCCACAATGGCCTCTGATTGTACATTCTTTAAAACCAGTAGTAAGACAAAATAATTAGAAAAGGCCAGTTATAACAATTCAAAAATGGGGCTACATTTGATACTCATAATCATCAATTGGTCTTTGTGTCTATTTGGTACTTTCTCTTGTTTTTCTTTATTCGAAACCCCTAAGGAATAAATCTGCATCTGGTTGTAAGTCAAAGAATCAATATGAACTGCAAAGCATCTTAGCCTTTAGACCACATATCTCTAAGTTCTTTTTTTTTTTTTTTAAATTTTATTTATTTATTTATTTAGTGTGTGCGTGTGTGTGGCCAGCTCAGCCCACCAGGGGGCAGGGCTGGCTGGCATGTGGTGCTGGGGGATTGAACCGCGGTCCCTGTGTTTTGCTTAGCTTGTTCTAAGTAGGTGCTTTAGACCACTGAGCCATCTCACCAGCCCATCTCTAAGTTCTTAAAACCAACTCTCCATCCAAATGTACTACATATCACTACAAAATTGATGAACACATGCACAGAGTGCATAACTTTACTGAGGGGACAACCATCCATGATGACTGGACTGATCACCCACTTCAGAGCATACCATCTGCCAAATTATTTAATATTCCCTTATTTCAGAAAGTACAGATGATATTGATTAGATGAAACCTTCCCACAAAAAAAATTTTAAACATTTGATATTTGTGAGTGTCAGCCACTGTCTGGCACATCAGAATAAAGCATGAATTTTGGAACAAGCAGTTACTGCTCATGAATTTGCAGTTATTTCCTCACTTTAGCTGAAGAGAGATTTTTAAAAGATTGCCATAATATGAATATGCAGAGAAAAAAATTAAAAGCAAAAGCACATGATAAAATTTCAAGGGGGAAAATGACAAACTACAAAGCACATGAGAAAAGTGAGCCTCTGACAATTTACAAACCATAAAAATTTATTCAGCCCTATAACAAAAATACTAACCAAATTATTTATTTTCTGCCTCCTTACCTATATGATCAATATTAGAAAGTACTTCAATAATTTAGTTAAATATAAACATTATAGAGTGGAGTTTTAGTTAAACAAAATTCAGAAAAACAAAAGAGGGAGAAAAAAGAAAGCCAAAATTAAAGGATATTTCAGTGGTAAAAATAAAAATGCTACTTAACATAAAAATTGTCCATAAGCAGAAAAGTGCTTCAAAAGTTCTTGAAAGCATATGTACTTAAACTAGAGTTCAAAAACTGACTGCCTATGAATTGTACACTGTGGGCAGATGTGTTCCGAATGCCTACCTAGTATTTTTTTAAAACCTGAATTGGTTGCCAGCATTTAATCAGAAGAACTCACATCAAACATCTTCCCAATCTGAAGTTCTGGCAACAACAGAACCCTCAGCCCTGACTGGAGGGTGTCCATTCTGCACCCTCCTTGCACTCTGGGCGTCACAGGGTGCTTTGCACAAGTATCAGGGCCTCAGCCCAACCCTCTCATTGTCCTCAGCAGTGCCCTCCCACCTTTGTTGGTAGACAGGTGTGCATAGATTTAAAAGTTGTCTTAACAGGCAGCAGGAGGTAAGATACATGGGACTCATGTTTTACAATCATATGTGGAATTGTTCTTCCAGTTACCCCATCCTTAAAAATAGTGACAATTGCAGTCATGTAAATATCTCCTCCTAATCTTGTTTAAGTCACAGGCTAAACAGGGAATGCTTAGAACAAAGGTCTGGTAAGCAACATGAGCTTTCTTACCCACATACGCTGTGCTCCAGGATGCTCAGTGGATCACCTGCACTCAACTCCTTCCCCGAAGTACAGATGCACAGGCCATGCTATGGACACACAACTTCAAAACTCAAACGAGCAGGCTATGCACAATAAACACTGCAATCAGTGTCCATTTCTAAAAGGATGTTCAGGACTTTTCCCTTCCTGCTCCTACAACCACCCACCCACCGTCTGACTATGCATGTGAACACATATTGAGGGCATGGAAGTAGTCCACTGAACAAATGATCTTAAATTACTTTCAGACATCTGCAGTTGGCCTGTTCTCCTTGCACTTACTCTCCTTTTTCCTTTGGAATTTTTCTTTGGTCTTGCTCTTGGCCTCTGATTGTACATGGCTCACATGGTAGGACAAATTTA